GTAAGCAACATTAAAACTGAACTCTTGTTTACAAAACACTGTGTAGCTGGGGACAAAGGCTCATGACTGTAATTTAACTACAGAAAAGGCTGAGACCTAGAGGGTAGTGATTCTGAGCCAGCCTGGGCAGAAACCTCCAAGATACTTCATCTCCAATTAACCAGCAAAGAGAGGTATGGCTCAAGTGTAAGAGGACCAGATGTGTACCTGCAAGCTGAGCATTGCAGGACCAGAGTTCAAGCCTTGGTAGTAGCAAAAAAACAAAAAACCTACAAAAAAATAAAAGCCAGGTGCTAGTGGTTCACATATGCCTATAATCCTAACTACTCAGGAGGCTGGGATCTGAGGATCACACTTTGAAGCCAGCCCAGGTAGGAAACGCTGTAAGACTCTTATTCGCCAATAAACCACTCAGAAAAAGACAGAAGTGGAGCTGTAGCACAAGTGGTAGAGCGCTACAAAGAGACTAGGGGACAGCACCCAGGCCCCAAGGTCAAGCCTCAGGACTGGGAAAAACAAATCCAAGCATCATGATAGAGCTCTGTCCCAGTATGCACAAGGCCCTGGGTTCCATTTACAGCGCTGAAAGAAAACCTGTTACAAAAATGAAAAGCCAATTAGAAAATATTTGCAAACTACACACCTGACAAAGGACATCTATGTTCAACACAGAGAACTTTCATCAATCAGCAAGATGACGAAAACCCAAATAAAACTAAGGGGAAAGATGTGAACTGACATTTCACTAATGAGAAACAAATGGCAAATAAGCATATGAAAAGATATTCAACATCTCTAATTAGGGAAATGCAAATCTGGAAATACCCCAAACAGCCATGAACAGACTAGAAGAACAGGCTGTGGCACCTCCGGGGAGGACAGCCGGGGGGGGGGGGGGACACGGGGGGGGGGAACACCAGGGGGACATCATCCAGCAGCACCGCATCAGAACCATGCTCAGTCACTAGGGCCTCCAACACTGTACTGTGTGTGTAGACCTGGCAAGGCTGGACAGCAATCACGTGAAAACTGACTGCATGACTGCATGACCCCACCAACCCTGGCAAATATTAAGTACCAGCAACAGAAAGGCCAGTGGCTGGGGGCATGGCTCAAGAGGTACAACGTCCACCTAGCAAGTACTGTTCCAACGCCCCAGGTGAGTGGGTGCCTAGAGGTGGAGAGGGATGGAAGGAAAGGCCCATGACTGTGGGAGGAATGGACACATTTCCCACCTTGTCCCTGGCACTGGGACAGGCCCATGCCACGCAGTTCCCCATGCTTCCATTATTCCTCAGTGATGCAGCAAAAACAAGGAGTCCTAACATACGGTGGGTCTCTGCTCTCAAGACAACATACCATCACATAAACACTGTACACTGAGTTCAGCAAAAGTTATGACTGTGATGCTGGATGTTGCAAAGGGATAGCACAGACCCCAAGGAATCAACAATGTCCATAGTTAAAAACAAACAGGCCAGGGCTGGGAATGTGGCTTGGTGGTAGAGTGCTTACTTAGCATGCGTGAAGTCCTGTGTTCCATTCCTCAGTACCACATAAACAGAAAAGGCCAGAAGTGGCACCATGGCTCAAGTGGTAGAGTGCTAGCCTTGAGCACAGAGAAGCTAATGGTCAGTGCCCAGGCCATAAAGGTTCAAGCCCCAAGACCTGGGGAAAAAAAATATAACAAGCCAAGCGTCCATGGCTCATGCCTGTTAATCCTAGCTACTGAGGAGGCTGAGATCTGAGGATCTTGGTTCAAAGCCAGCCCAGGCAGGAAACTCCATGAGATTCTTATCTCCAATAAACCACCAGAAAACCAGAAGTGGCACAGTGGGTAGAGTGCTAGCCTTGAGCTGAAGAGCTGAGGGACAGCGCCCAGGCCCAGAGTTCAGGCTCCACAACCGGAAAAAAAAAAAAAAAAAAAAAGAACAGGCCAAGAATCCTGGCTCACGCCTATAATCCTAGCTACTCAGGAGGCTGAGCTAGATCTGGGTAGAAAAATCCTTGAGACTCTTACCTCCAAAATAACCAACAAAAAGCAAGACAAAAGGCTCCAGCAGTTAAGACTCAGCAGAACAAGCAAACATAGTACTAGGGATGGAGTTCAAGCCTAGGTATTGGCAAAAAAGATGAGAAGGAGGAGGAAAAGGGAAGGAAGGGGAGGAAGAGAAGGAAGAGGAAAAGATGGTCATAGATAGCAAGGGTGTAGGCAAACTAGTTTTCATCAAAATTGAACTTCCAGCATTTGATCCAGCAATTCCACTCCCAGATATACTATTAGAGAAAACAAAACATCCATCCATGCAAATACTTCCACATCCGTGTCCACAGCAGCACTATGTGTAAGAGCCAAAAAGCAGAAGCCCAAACATCCACTAACAGGAATGGGCAGACAGGATGTGGCCCGTGCAGCATGGAGTATTATTGGCCATAACCAGGAACCAAGTTTTGACACATGCTATCAGACGGTGACTACTGTATGTCAGTGAAAGCCAACCAAGGTCATATGCTGCACAACTCTTTTACATGAGGTGTTCATGGAGAAAGCTCAGGTGAGGGCTTCCAGGGCTGGTGGAACTCTGGGGACCAGGAGGATGAGGGAGGGACCGCAAATAGTATTGTTTTCTTTTTCAGGTGATTAAGTATGAACTAGATAAAGGTAATGGTTGCAACTTCTACTGAATTGTGTGTGGAAATGGGTGAACTAAGAGTTGTCAACAAGGAAAAGCCCTGAACAAGCTTAGCCAGTTCACTCTCCAGTTCAGCCCCAGGACAGATTTCAAAAATCCCACACAGGAAGCAGCTCCCGATTCAAGGCTGAGGCAGAGCCTTCTGACTCCTCACCTTCACAGACCCTAAAGGACTAGCCAGCAAAACGCTCTAGGATCTCTTCTGTCTCAGACATACCAACCCTTACTGTGGGGTCTCTGCTAGAGCCGGCACCTCAGCCTCTGCGTGGGGACACGGGAACAAGGCACTTGGTGGTTCAGCCCAGGACACTGGGGCTCACACCCAACCCCGTGTCATCCCCCAGGGGGCCGGGGCCGGCCAGGCTGAGCTGAGAGGCAGGACACCAACTCCAAACTTCCACGGACTGGTCCAGGAGCTCAGGGGTAGGATCTCCGCGTGGCCAGATCTGACCACCCACTGCCCTACCCACCTTGCCTACCACCTCAGGCTGCAGGCGTGATCTCAGCGGGCACTGGGTAGCCCTCTGGCCACACCCTTGGCTCCTCAAGCACAAGAGGAGAAAGCTTCCCCCCAGAGCCACAAGAGCTGGGGGCATATGGCCTGAGAGCACCGTCTACCACATAGGCTCAGCCCATGCTGGAGGGCTTCTCACCCCGCTGCCCCGCTCTAACAGCCTGGCCCCTTCCATCACACAGCCACCACTTGGGATGTCCAGGCCACAGAACCTTGGTATCCTCAAACAAGAGGATACCAAAAAAGGAAGTGAAGCCCGACTTCCATGCAAGAGGGTGTGAGATGCAAAGCTGCACCAGGCAGGGGAAGACAGAGGCTGCTTTGGGGAGAGAAACCCAGCACCACTAACATGACCCAGTAGCCAAGGAGGCGGCCAGCACCTGACCCTGGCATGTCGCATCTACTGGCTTCCCAGTGAGCATCTCTACCTGGTGTCCTTGCTGGCCACACCTGAAGGGGATGGCCTTCCAGAATGGTGCCCACAAGGAGGCTTTGAAGACACGAAGATCTGTCCTCCATGCCCAGAGCCTAGAAGAATATAAGTGGTTCTTGGCTGACTTGCCTTTACTCAGAGGGTCACGACCAGCACACAGGAGTACTATAGCCCCAGGCCTGCCCAGAGGTCCTGTGAGGGAGGGTGACCTCAGCCACATGACACCTCCTCCCTGTGCTGAGAGCCACAGAAACTCGGGGCTCTACCCAATGTCAGATCTGCAACCACGCCACATGGGAGCCCCGTGACTTCTAACATTTCAGTGTTCTTGATTATGTTGTCAACAGCAACTCTTTGTAAGACATCCACAAAACACAGAAAGCGGCTGGGAAGGTGGCTTAGTGGTAGAGCGCTTGCCTAGCAAGCATGAAGCCCTGGGTTCCATTCCTCAAAGCCACATATACAGAAAAAGCTGGAAGTGGTGCTGTGGCTCAAGTGGTAGAGTGCTAGCCTTGAGCAAAAGAAGCTCAGGGACAGTGCCCAGGCCCTGAGTTCAAACCCCAGGACTGGCAAAACACACACACACACACACACACACAGAAAGTATAAAATAACCTGTCAACAAGAGGAGTGTGCTCCTGTGACATATCTAAGTAGTGTGGGAACCATCATTCACAGGCCTGCAGCTCTCCATTATTACTGGTCACCAGTCCCCTCTGCCAGCAACACAACTCTCCTCACCACCCTTAAACACCCTCCACATCCTCAGCCATGCTCCTCAGGGGAGACAGTCCACCCACGGAAGCCACAGAGCCTGCCTCCAAGGTTGTCTGATGCACCCCACTTTCAGTGAGGGCTAACCTTCAACAGCCCTCATGATTTTTCTTTTGTGGTGCTGGGGCTTGAACTCAGGACCTGGGCATTGTCCTTGAGCTCTTTTTGCTCAAGGCTAGTGCTCTACCACTTGAGCCACAGCGCTTTGGGGTTTGTTTTGTTTTTGAATATTGGAGGTAAGAGTCTCACAGGGACTTTTCTGCCCTGGTCCGGTCGTGGGGCCTGAACTCTGGGCCTAGGTACTGTCCCTCAGCTCTTCAGCTCAAGGCTAGCGCTCTACCACTAGAGCTACAGCGCCACTTCCGCTTTTTTCTTTTTGCTTATGTGGTGCTGAGGAATTGAACCCAGGGCCTCAGGCATGCAAGGCAAGTGCTCTACCACTGAGCCACCTTCCCAGCCCAGTGTGATTATTATTTTTAAGCATATTTTGACAGGCCAAATTTGATCCCAAATTGAAGAAGGCCCAGATACAGAACAGCACTGGGTCTACACAGCATATTAGGCGGTCTAGTGTTAAGAGTCTTACCAAGTTCCTTGGAGCCCTGGCTCTCACTGGCCAGCTCTCCCATCTTCACCAGGGCATCAAAGTAGCCTTTGGCAGCGAAGGTCACACCTGAGAGGAGAGAGAGCAGTTAGGTCCATCACAAGGCCTGGCCGAGGCCCATAGCCAGCACTGCAGTCACAGCTGAGCCACCCCCTCATGAGCCCGGACAAGCGAGGACTACTCCAGCTTTATTCCTGCTTCTTGTTGGTCTTCTTATTCCGTTCCCATCACGAGGGCTCCTTTTATTTGTAAGAACACAGTGTACTGTGCAGGTCCAGAGCTATTCAAGTCAAACTGTAGAGCATGGAGCCCTGTCACATCACGTGCTGTTTGCTGAGGGGGAGGGCCAGCTGCTCAAGTGTACTTCAGGAGACTGGGTGCTGACTCAGGGTTAGAGCTCTGCAAACATGGAAAGCAGGGGCCGCTGATCTACCCACAGAGTCCCCAGCCAAGCTGCAACAGGAAGAGCCACTGTCCCGGAAGGGTGCTCATCGCCCAGAGCGGGCTGGAAACATCACAGCCCTGCGGTGGCCAGAGGGCCCCAACAGCAAGTTAGAGGCACCACAGTGACAAGACTGGGGAAGCCCAGAGCCTGCTTCCCGGGGTCTAAATGGGGAGTCAGGGCTTCCTCACATCTTATTTGGGGTGAGAGGAGGGGCCTTTGCACACTGCCCCTCCCTCCTGCCCTTCAGACTGCAGGACAAGCCGCCCGGCCTGGAGTGCAGGGCCACGGCAGCCACCAGCAGCACAATTACAATCTCTCATCTGTTTTCTACAAAACCCAGTTAGGGGCTCATAATTGGACACTTTATCAAATTTTATTTATATGGTTTTCAATTAAGTGCACACAATTGTTCTGTGGCACAAGACTGTCCCCAGGGGGCTGAAGAGCTGCTGCTGCCAGGTTGGGGGTTTTGGGGGCGAGATTAAGTGGAAGAAAAGGAAAGAGAAGTTGTGTGTGTGGAGGCTGGCGAGGAAACTGAGGTGGTGCTGTGGCCAGGAGCCTGGACCACTGTGCTCAGTCCTGAGACAATCAAGGAAAACAGGAAGAGGAAGTAACCCTCCAGACTGTCCTGCACCGCAGCCTGACAACCAGCCTGACAACCGCAGGAGGAAGCCCAGGGGGAGGCAGAAAGGCCTGAGGAAGCCCAGGCTTAAGCATCAAAGAGCTGGAGGGTAGATAGCACAGGCCCAGCCTCCACCAGACCCAGGAACTCCCCAGACACAAGACAACTGGGAAAAGCATTCCACTAGCCCAAGGGGGAGCCACACAGGGAAGAAGCCCCCACCCCCACCCCCTTGGCGGCTTTGAAATACACCAGTCCTGCCCCTCCTCTCTTGAGGGTGGAGCCAGCCTGGACCTCTGAATTCAACGGGCCTGGAAATTAGTTTTGCTTGGAGAATCTGACACAGGCGCATTGCACCCAGAGACAGCGGGCCACCCCAGGGATTCGTGGGGGGGTGGGGGGGAGGAGACAATCTTCGGTATCTCCAGGCTGCAGCTCCCCTTTCGGCCTCCTCCCTGAGGCCTCTCCCAGCTGTCAGCCTCAAAGCAAAGCTAGTTTTTTCTAGGCCAGGCCTCCCAGCAGTGGAGGGAACAGGAACCAAGGACACCGTGTTCACTTCCACACCAAGCCTCGGGGGCTCCTCCTGGGGCAGTGGCCATCACCACATCCTGAGCTCTGCAGTGCCCTCAAGCTCTGTGCGTGGAATCTCTGCTTGAGGGCAGCAGCTGCTTATGAGGAATTCAGCTGGAACCAAATCTATGAGTGCACAGATGGCCTTTCTGAGCCCCGGGACCCCCCGAGGGTCATGGAGCTCAGGGCAGGGCTGTGGTTGGAACTCCTGGGTCATGGAGCTTCAGGCAGGGCTGCAGAGTGGGGAGAAGAACCCTCCCAGGCGGTGAAGACCCCCTCTAAGGGCCAGCACCATCCACCTGGGTCTATGAAAACACAGGACCAGGTTCTAGGGAGGTCTCAGATGCAGGAAGACAGGAGGACTACATGCAGGGCAGGAAGGCCCTCTGGTCCCTGTATTGGATGTAGCAAGCAGGCAGATGGGCATGACAGGGCTGGACAATCCCTTTTTCAGAGCAGACAGGAGGCCATGGTCAGAAACAGGCCAGGGCGCTGGGAAGGGAGCTCATCAGTAGAGTGCTCGCCTAGCCTGCATGAAGCCCTGGGTTCCATTCCTCAGTACCACATAAAAAGAGCTGGAAGTGGTGCTGTGGCTCAAGTGGTAGAGTGCTAGCCTTGAGCAAAAGAAGCTCATGGACAGTGCCCAGGCCCTGAGTTCAAGCCCCAGGACTGGCAAGATAAAAAATATGCCCAGATGCTGGGCTCTCTGTTCCCAAGAGACTATGGAGTAAAAGTGGCAGAAAGAAAAAATGTGAAGCCTCTTTGTTGTCTCTAACTTGAGCTCCTGGACAGAACCTCCCCGCACAGGTCAGGGCCATGACACAAGCAGGCCAAGGAAGTGCTAGGAAAATGGTGCTCACTTGGAGACACACAGTGCTCCCTACTGAGGGGAGGGTGTTGCAGTGAGTCAGGTGTGGTGGCACCACCTGCAATCCCAGCACTCAGGAGGCCGAAATACAAGTCATGAGTTCCAGGCTAGGTTGGGTTACATAGCAAGAACTTCTCTCCAAAAAGAGCCCAAAAAGGAATGGTTGAGCATCTGCCTAGTATGATCCAAGGTTTGGGTTCAATCCCCAGTAACCTGGAGGGTATTGCACAAAAAATAAATTTTAGACCCTCCCATCCCCCATAAATGTGCTACAGCCAGCAGTGGCTTCAAGCCTACATAGAGAAACATAGCCAAGGGTGCAGGAGACTAGGGGTCAGGGCTCAGGAGCTGTGGGTGTCCAAGTAAACAGCATGACCTGGCTCTACTGGGTGGAAACACCAAGGGCCACAGTGCTGGCCTGGCAACTCCAGGCCTCCTGAACTGGGCAGGGCTATCTCAGGGTTAGTGAACCCAAAGGGTCCAACACTGCCACCGCCATCCCTAGAATCTCTGGTCTAGACTCACAGGGGTGCAGGACATCCAATTACAAGGAGAAGCTACAGGTTCCTGGCTTTAGACCTCTGTGGTCTCCACCCCAGTCTTACAGACTCCAGATGGCTCTGGGGATAGAAATCCACACTCCTGTCCTTATGTCACCTAGTTGTCCCCCTAGCTGCAGGACAAGACTGGCCTGCATAACAGGGACACAGTCGGAGTTGGCCAGCACTCATGCCCTCCCGTAGCCTGTGGGGTTGTTTCTGGAACGAAGGACCCCCCTGGGCTGAGTGGAGTCCATCTGTGAGCCGGGGCAGTGCAAGCCAGGGATGGGGCTGGGTGCTGGCTGTAGGCAGCCTGCTCTACCTGCAAGGGCTTTCTCATAGTTCTTCCCCATGGCGATGAAGTTGCGGAGGCTGGGGTTGAACTGCTCCATGATGGTCTGTAAGAGAGCAGAGAGAGGGGTGTCACCAGGGCTTGTGTTGCCTCTGTGGAGGGCGTTCAGGCACCCGCCGCCTCCCAGCTTCCCGACCTCAAAGCCCTGCTCTGCCCCCGCGGCTGTCCTGAGCCTCGGCGTCCATCACATGTGCACCCTGGTGGGGCCAGAGCACCTGGGATCAGCATCGGGGTCCACAGGGCTCATGCAGCAATGGCCAGCAATCAGACACGTGCAGCTGAGCGCCTGCTGTACCCGGCTGGCTGAGGAGCCTACCGTACCCGGCTGGCAAGGCTGAGTCAGCCGTAGGAGGCCGCCTGCTGGCCACACACAAATGCTCCAAGATGCCCCCCACGCCAAAACCCTAACTCAACACATCAATTACCAACATCAACTCTGATTAGAGACATCCACAGCCTGATTTGCAAACACCACGCTATGAATAATCCACCAGGCTCCAGAGCTGTTTGCCCGACGGACTACAGTCGCTGTGCCAATATCGGCAGTTCTTAGACTCAAGAAATTAGATTTTCACTGGGAAAGCCAAATAAATGTTTTAATTACAAAGCGTAAAAACAGGCACACGCGCGCGCACATGCACGCGCACACACACACACACAAACAGCAGCCAAGTGAGAATTCTACCAGCACAATACGCAGGACCACTGTCAACAACCAACCCCAGCCAAGGAGGACCTGGGTGGAACTTAAAACCCTTCTGCAGCACATCCTAAGTCTTCTGGTCGGCTGTTTGTCCTATTAAGAGCCCAGTTCTTCTGGAAGATGAAGATAACTGGAAGGAAGGCTGCCAGGCGGCCGTCACCTACCACCCCAACCTGTGGGCTGAGGCCTGTCCCAGCTCCACCCTCGGCTGCAGGACCAGCATGGCAGGTGAGAGGGGGCTTAAGGACACCAATCCCAGGGCCCACGTGGGGTCTGACTCCAGAAACCCCAGCAACATCAGCTCCCCTCACCTGCTCTTCCCTGTGGCAAGGCCTCTCAGGAAGTAGCACCAAGATGAGTCCTTGAGTTCTGAACGGCACCCACCCACACTCAGGCCTGGGCTCGCTGTCCCCACTGTCTCATGAGGCTCCAAGGCTGAGAACCTCCCACACAGAAATACTGTCCACGGGGCCTCCCTTCCTGAACACAGCACAGATACTGGCATTTACGCAGAGCTCAAGCACAGGAGGGGACACAGCAGCCCCCCAGATGCACAAGGTCTCATCCCTAGAAACATCTTGAGGGAAGTGGGAGAGCTCAGCTGCAAAGCAGTGCAAAGGCCTCACAGCAAGGTAACAATAGAGGGAGCAAGTATGGGGATGTCCCCCAGAATGGGAGGGAGGCTGGGCGTGGTAGTCATACCTGTAATCCCAGCACTCGGAGGCAAGCAGGAGTATCAAGGCCAGCCTGAGCTGTCTCTGAAAGACAGAAGAAAGAGGAGCTAGGTGGAGAAAGAAGGCTCTAGCCAGGGCTGGATTCCTTGTTTTACACACCAGTTGTGGGGCGGTATGGTGAGCTCTGAGCAGCCATATTCAAATTGCCCTTAGAACCCAGCAATGGTGAGGAGACCAGGTACAGAAATGGATGGCGAGCCAGGCACCAGTGGCTCACACCTATAATCCTAGCTACTCAGGAGGCTGAGATCTGAGGATCGAGGTTCAAAGCCAGCCCAGGCAGGAAAGTGTATGAGACTCTGATCTCCAATGAACCACCAGAAAACTGGAAGTAGTGCTGTGGCTCAAGTGGTAGAGCGCTTGCCTTGAGCTGAAGGGCTGAGGGACGGCGCCCAGGCCCAGAGTTCAAGCCCCATGACTGACAGAGACAGAGAGAGAGAGAGAATGGAGGGGTGTTGTGGTGTGTTAGTGAAAGCAGGGCAGAACCTGGTCTGGCCAACTCTGGGGAGGCCAGTGTGCTCATGCGTGCGGGTTCATGTGTGCACACATGGGGGAGGAGGGGTGCCTGTGTGTGTGTGTGTGCATGTGTGTGACAGAGTCACCACGAGATGTTTCTAATCCAGAACAGAACAGAAGGTTGGGTAGGCAAACACCCCTCGTTAACAAGTTAACAGGACTCCGGCCCCGGAGTAATGGGAACCATTGCCATGAACATCCCAAACGACAGGTAAAATGCGGAAGCTACCCGGGCATCTGCTGTGTGACAACGCAAGAGCTGTGAGGTTTCGCTTCCTCGGTGCAGAGCTGAGCTCACACCAGAGGAATGCGAGAGCCAGTGGGCAGGGCAGCGAGTGTGCTGCTGTGGCACCAGCCAGGCCACCTGGGCACAGCCATCTGTCCCAAGAGAGGCTGGTCAGCCAAAACACACCAGGGCTGGGCTGAGCTGGGCTGGCCTGGAGGCGGTGTCAGAAGCATGAAGGCCATGGAGCTGACATACTGATGAAGCCTCTGTGGGTGGAGGCAGCCCAGGGCCTCCTTCTAGCTCTGAACACCAGCTCTTGGCCCTGGTGCCAACAGTGGGGTCTCCTGCTCAAGGCCACAACCCCAGTCATTCCCTCTCCCAGAAACTGTGGAAGGAACAGGCCTTTCTGGTAGTGGCCAGGTGTGGTCCTTCTGATCTCTCCCTATGATCCTTCCACCATTCAGATTTCCAGAAGCTTCCCCATGAGAACACCAAGTGAGGCCCAAACCATCCCCGGAGTGTGGCTGCTGCTGCTTCTGTGTCCCCCCCTCCCCAACCACCCCCCTCCCGCCTGCCAAGTGAGCACACTCAGGCTGGCCTGCTCTGGACTGGCCACCAGCCATCTTTCCTCAAGTGAAAGAAGAGTGTATGACTCCACAGGACTTCTCTGGAGAGGTGCTGAGCACAAGCACTTGAGGAAGGGGTCTGCTGACAAAGGGAGGGAAGTTACAGCTTCCTTATCAACCTCAAAGGACACAAAACCAGAGCAGAAGCTGGACCTTGAGGAAAGCAGTGCCTCGACCTTGAGGAAGTGAGCTTGGTCTCTGTGTGGGAGCCTCCCAGTGTACTGAAGGCAGCGGCCCGTGCGGAAGGCTGCCTGGGCCAGATGTGCAGTCCTTGAGCCTGGAGTGGAACTTGGGGCCTCCTGATGGGATACAAGATGGCTCCTCAGGACCCTGTATGCCATGACCTGGTCTTCTGCCAGGATAGAACCCCACCTGACAGGACGATACATCGTTTACACCCCACTTTCCGTCTTTTCTACATCACTTTGATGGTTCCTAGTCCAAGAAATATATTTAGCAGCAACCTTCTTTTATTTATGCCCTTGCACGTTCAATGTATTTATTGAGGAAGATCTTCTGTGCACCTGGGGAGGCAGGGCCAGGTCCAGGGATGTTCACCCTTCAGCTGAGGTGACAAAGTAGGGTGTCCTGTAGCGCTTCCAAAGAACCTAAGCCCAATGGCATTCCCCCTCTGGGCCAGCCTGGAGAGTGACCGCCTGCCAGACCACTGAGGACAAAGTGCGGCAGACCAGTCACCCGTGACATCCCCTGCGCAAGGGGGATGGCTCTTTGCCCCTCTGCTTCTGCGCCCAGATTCCCTGGCTGCCAGCACAGGGTTCTGTCCACTCTTCCGTCTTGGCTCCAGTCACAGCCCCTCTCAAGCACTGCCTGCCATGGCCAGACATTCCAAGCAAAGGATGGTCCCAGTTCCGGGCTGTGTCCCTGTGCCTGTGTGCTTCAGTGTGCCGGGCAGAGGCGTGCACAGCCCTCAGACACAGGCATCCTTCCTCTCTCCGCACATACCACTCCGAGGAAGAGAATAGCGAGTCTCCCTAGCTGCCGGGGGACCTCTTGCACCCTGAGCTTCACCAAACCCAGCTATGGACAATGTGGATCTCAATCTTAGGGAGTCTTTCTGGCAGGTCCTGGCTTCAGCTCTAGGTCATCCAGCTGTCATCCCATTCCAGCAACAGCAGAAAGGAAGGTGAGGGACAAGGCCACCTGCTCCCACCCCCAGCCTGTTCCTCAGGCCAGTGCTCAGAGCGGCTAACTCCTGGAGGAATCACCCCACTTGTTCTCAGCACCGCTGATGCTGGCTTCCCAGGTGTCTGGTGCTACCTGTTCGTCTGCCCACAGTGCCCTCCCACTGCTGTGAGACTCGGCGGAGAACTGGGTGCCAGTTTTGCAGGCTTGACGCAGCTTTCCCACGTCCACAGTCATGTCACTACCTAGGTGAGGAGAGGCCCAGCTCCCTGCCAGAATCCAGGTGTCCCCAGAGAGACCAGCCCAGGAAGCCAGACTCCCAGGGAAGGGAGGGTGAGGTGGGGACAGCGCCAAACATGTGGGGACCCACGGAGCCCAGCCTGGGCCCCGGGTGTGGAGCACAAGGTGCTGACAGGGTCCTCCTTGGAGGATTTCCCACAGCTCACTGATCTGAGCATACAGGCTCTGTGTGTGCATGCACATGCGCGCGCGCACGCACACACACACACACCTTGGAGTGCAAGTAGAGGAAGATGGCAAAGTCCTTTGTAACGTGTGACCCAGTAGGACACATTCATGGGTTCAGGACCCTGGGCAAAAATCCTGCTCATGGTACAAGAGAACTGAGGGTTGCTGTACTCTAAAACTAAGGGTCTCTCCTGAAGGAATCAGTGTTAGCTCAGTGGGTACAGAAGGCTGCCTGGAGGAGGCAGACCATGAATGTGCTTGGCTAGAGGCACAGGAGCAAGGAATGTGTCCCTGTAATTTCCGGCCACAGGCTTCCGGTAGGAAACAGCCCCTGGAGTGAGGATAGAGCAGGAAGAACAGGCCCCTGGGAGGGACAGGATCAGGTGACCTGGCCCAGGGCAGAAGGAAGCCCACTGTGGGCAAATAGTTCTCTGCAATACTGTACGGGAGCACCCACCACACGCACCCTGAACACCCCCGTAGACACCCAGCCCACAGGGACAGAGCATTCAAGAACAGGCCCCCTTCTGTAGGGCAGGAACAGAACCAGGAGAGAGAGAATTAAGGTCCTTGCCAGCAAAGGAAGGGTGGTCAGGGAAGCCACTGGGTTCAAAGGGGTAGGAAACAGGCAG